CTTAGTTTTGGTTTCAAATTACACAACATCATGTATGTGTTGCTTCTTTGGGGCTTGTTTTCATAGACCTGGTTGCTTATTTCTCTCAAATCTGGCAACAGAGTGGGCGGGGCGCAGTGTCTAATTGTAGCAGTAAGCTAACGAGTACTGATAAGCTTTATTTTGTTTTGATCCAATGCTACACAACTGAACTGATCCAATGCTGCTGTGAAAGAAAGAAGCTATATCCATGTTGGATAGAATATCCAATTTAAATAAAAAAATAACCTTAAGGGACAACTTGAATGCTTTTTTCTTTTTCTCTTAATGCATTGCATAAAGATCGGATCGGGAAAAATCGGTATCGGCAAATTGTCAAAATCAAATATGAATCGGATCGGGAGCAAAAAAAGGTGATCGGGACATCCCTAATTGACGGAATAGATCGGTTAATGTCAATTACTGTACTTCATTTTCTATCCAATAAATACTTCTGGAATGCAATGAACATCACATCACATGTCACTTGTTAGACGCTGTTATCCAAAGCGACTTGCATACTCAACCCCCACAGGAGCAATTTGGGCTGAAGTGTCTCAGGGACACAACGACATGCTGACTGCAGTGGGGTTTGAACCTGTGCTCCCCCTCATCCGAACACCTACGGACAACCCACTGCACCACACGCCTCCCTAACATAACACATTGCTATCAATAAAACTGTGGGTTGTCACTATAATGGTTACAATGTCATTAGTAAAGCATCTGATATGGATTGTAAGAAATTGAACAAAAGACACTTTCTTCTTCTGTTTTTGCCTAATTGCTTTGAGGGGTAAAAAAACGAATTCAAATATATTTTAGAAAATCCTCCTATGTGTATAAACTCATAAAAGAAGATGAAAAATCAAGGCTAAAAAAATATTGTCTCTGCTACTCAGGTAAAGGAGACAGAAACGTCAACAGAGGAGAGTGACCGGTCAGCCACACCCAACCAACACAAACCTCAACACAGTAAACCGCAGAAGTCCAAGGGCAACAGACAACCCCCTCCTATGTGGGGTCCTGGTTTCCCTGGGTTACCTCCTGGGTTTCCTCCTGGGCCACCCCCCATGCATGCTTTCAGACAGGTGAGAAGAAAGAAGCCACATAGCACCTGTTTCTGTTCAAAGCTTCATCCTAGTACGATCCCCCCATCTTGACAACGTATCACCACTGTTGTCTAACAAACCAGCAACGCTCCCATTGATGTTATTTTATCTTTGTGTGCTACTCTACACTTGATTGACATTGTATTTATCAGAAAAGATTGTTGCTCTCTCACTTTGCATTGAATAATCTTCACCGCTCAGTCTGACATGAGGAAAGGGGGAAGGACGATCGGCTTCAAAAAACAGGCTTTCGTTTTGTTTTGAAAAACAAGCTTTTTATTCCATGTTATTCAGTGATGTCACAGCGCTTTTCTGAACAGTTTGAATATTTTTCAACTTGAAGCGCTCGGTGTGTCCACACAGAAACAGTGGTGCCCTCAGAAATAAGCCGCTTTCCCTCGAGTCGGCCACATGCAAATACATGTGCTGCTTCCTTATCGGAAACAATTGAAAGAAGTTGCTGGCGCCCACAAAAGGCTTTGTGAAAATGTCCCGGTAACAGACTATTTTCATACACAATGTCGCAGAAAGTTTGAAATGTAAGATTAGAAAATGAAGGCTTAATACATTCTAAGAGTGGGTTAGTTCTGCTGCAAGGAAAATAATATAACAAATTAAATGTAAACAATAAAGTGTTTTACAATGTGAACAATAAAACCAGCATATAAACAACAGCCTCTCAGAGTTGGCATTTATAGCCGGGACGTTGTATTGGGTTGCAATGAATCTAACTGGTGGTTATGCTAATGGCTCTACCCTCTGTATAAACATAACTCTGTATAAAAGCCATAAAAGAAGGAATAGTACACATGTTGTTTTTTCAAAGAATAAATATTAAATCAAAGCTCCCTTGCAGATTGGACATAATGTACAAACATTAGTAAGCCTCAGACTGTAGATATTTCCTTTCAGGTAAAGTTCAGTGAAGAAAGTGTTTAGAGCCATGTTTCTCCCTTTTATCAAAATGACTTTTTGTTTGTTTACCTTCATCAGGGTGGAAGCAGAAGATCCGGTGGTCACGGGCCTGCACCTCCTTCCTGGCCTCCCATGATGCCTTTTGGTCCTCCAGTAAGTTTGCATACACTTTACACACTAAAGAGAAATGCACCAGCTACGGCAGACACTGATTATTTGATGTAAAAACACACACATTTACTCCTTCAGCTGGTAAATTAAGAAACAACTATCAATTCAAATGTAATTGACAGACAACACATATTTTCATCTTCATTATCTCTCTCTCTCTCTCTCTCTCTCTCTCTCTCTCTGCTTCAGATGATCCCCCCGCCTCCTCCCATGAGCCCTGACATGGTGGATGACGAGGCTCTGGGCAGCGTGCTGATCTCCTGGTACATGAGTGGATATCACACTGGATACTACTTGGTATGTGCACCGAAGCTATCTGACTTATGATGGGCTATAAAGGAACATTACAGCCTATATTTACAGCCTCTTGCATTATTTAGCAAAGGGCAGTGGGTGTTTATGCTAATTATTTGGGGGAGTTGTTGGTAGTTACACACATTTTGCTGTTATTCCTTATCTACAATAACCTTTCCCTCCAATGTGACATTTTTTTATTTATTTTTTATGCTGCATAAAAGGTGTGAGACCTTGATTTTTATAAGGTGAGCTATATTAACATCATATTCCTTTTTTACAGGGGTTGAAACAAGGACGCAAAGAAGCTGCCAAGTGGACCAAACTGCACCACAAATGATTCGTCTCCACATCTCATAGTTTCTCAGCCACCCTCCCTTTTGTGCCTAATGTGTATTTTTGTTGTTTCAATTCAATGATTTGAAGGAAGTGTACGTGCTGTGAACACCAGTTCATCGCAGCTCCAGGAGGAGAGTTTTGTATTCTTTGTAAATAGATTAAATAAATAAAGGCTATCTGAGCACAGTTGATAACGCACTCATTGTTCTTTTTTGCACCACGGCATAGAAACACAGTTGCACTAAATTGACAGTACCGGTAAATGTGTGTATGTATGTGTATCTTTGTTCAATGATGGATGTGTCAACACGGTATTTTGCTAATTTAAGCAAACAAGGGAATCTATCCAATTTTGTGTGTGTTATTTGATGTAATGGCATGTAATGTCCAGCAGAAGTCAGACTAGTATAATGTATGCACGTGATAAGAACATGCGTCATGAATACATAATAACTTGCTGTTTAGTCCTGTACAGAATGGCTGACATCCACTCTTTGCCTCTAAGTGCTGTATACACTTGTGTCTCTGGGCATGCTCAGAATTTAATTGCAAGCCAGACTTAAGTCCTGCTTACTGTCCCTCTGGTGCTTTCCACACAGTTAATTCAGAGAATGGTTCCAGTGTATGTGTTGCGTTGGAGCTCCGTTTCCCCTGAGGAGTACCTCATCCACCAACCAATACAGCATCGCATGATCCATCATGTTTTTCACTTTGGATGTGTGCATAATTCAGGCTGATGGTTGCCAAGGTTTCAACTGCTGTTGTGCAAATTTGCAACATCCTTTAAGCTTGAAAACTTTAAATATAGACATAAGGGCTTTAACACGTAAGAGAAAGAACATTGAAGTGTTTTGATACCACTGGAGTGTTTTATGCTTGAGTGGAATGAGAGCACATTGTGAGTTACTGTCTTGATAACTTAGCATCCACACACCCTATATGTATTCACTTAGATCACTTAAACTGATCCTGTAATGTTTGAAGTGTAATAATGTAGGAACAGTAAAGGAAGTAGGGCAATAGTTACTGTATGTGTATATTTAGAATAAAGAAAACCCCATGTAATTATAGTGGGAACAGCCAGAGCCATTTCGCTGTGCCTGTAGCACTTTCATTCCAGCAGATTTCCTTTATTTCCAGTATTTGCTGCTTGTTTACACCCACTCCTCGGCTTCAAACCTGGTAGGCGGTAGATCATACGCTCTACGTGTGTGTGAAGCAGAAAGACAATCAGAAAAGTATTGTGTGGCTCCGTGTATCGGCGTTATTGTGTCCTGATTTCTTGTATCATGTGATGTTCTTCCAGCTGCTCCATAGCCACGATCTCTGACAGAAGAGCGGCCCCTTTGTTTGTGTGGTAGGCATTTTATATCCTGCTGTGACTGATCCTAACTGTGGCAGTCACTTTTGTTTCTGCCTGTTTGTGTGGGCAAAAGAAGGGAACACTTTTAGTTTTAGGGATTTACAAATAGAATATGCATATAAACGAGGGCTGATCAACCAGACCTATCTGTTCCCCACAGACGGGTTTAAAATCTGCCACGGCAAAGCCAGCACATAAGCCCCTTTCCTGCCTGACTCCGCGGCACACTGAGCTGCCCAAAGGGCCCGATGGAGCCCAGCGAGGAGTTAAAAGGGGGTCAAGACCTAGCTTGGGAAAGCGCTGCTCCCCCCTGAGACTGTCTACCCCCTACTGACCAGAGCAGCATGAGGCGTGTAAACATAATCTGCATTTCACATTGTCCCTTCCAGGAAACAGACACACATCCAAGAGAGATCACATTGAGTTACAGCGCCTTCAGCTGTTTACTCAAGCTCCCAACGTCAACAAACATCTTGCTTTTAAATAAGAGACTCGGGGGGAGATTAGAGGAACACAAGCCCCTTTCCCTTTTTCCATAGAGACCGAGCATTAAACTCTCATTGCAGATACAGTCATAATATTTTTATGTTGCTAACACCTTTATTAATGGAGGAGTCTTTTGCTTTATCACTAGATGTTAATGCATGCAGTACTTTGTTTTACAGAGAGCATAGAGCTCTAAAGTTTTACACAATCGAATGCAAACAAAGCATTGGAAGCACAACAATGTATTTTCCTATTCATAAGAACACAAACACAATCTAATGAGTGTTAGTCTAACAACAGATTGCTGTATTAAGTTGTTTATAATTCAAGAAACAAAACATGCTTACCATCACAACATATTACCATATTGCCATACGGTGGATTTTCAGACTTAATTGCAGAGCCACCGTTAATTAAAGCAGTTTGTGAATAGTAGGAAAATCACAGTTAACAATGGCTGGCAATAACACAAACCTGATGTATGTATTACCGACACACATACATGTAAATATATTTAATAATACGTTTAGGACTCAAATATATGTTCATTTCTTATTTTAACAGTTACTTACCTGTATATAGCTTTAATTGTATCTTTAATTGTATTAATCTTTATCTATCCTGTCCTGTTTTTCATTCTCACCCAGTTGTTGTTAAACTACTGAATTTCCCCACGGGGATTAATAAAGCTCCATCTTATCTTATCTTATCTTAATGCATTGATTTCCAGCTTGCCATCACTAAAGTTTTTTCTTTTTATGATTTTGCTTTTGTGTAGCCTCTGTTTCCTCTTTTTTTGAACATTCTTCACTTGGATAGTTTCTGTTAATACATTAGGTCATGGTTGGGGTTACGCTGTGTGTGAATCTACAGAAAACAGATGAATAGAGCTTTGAAAACCGGCTTCTTGCTACCGAGCACTTCTTGTAATATCACTGATCTGCTCGTAAAGAAAAAGTGTTTCTTTAAGTTGAAGCATTTCAAGCAAAAATGTACTGTCGATATAAGGCTGTGTACTGGTACTTAAACCTTAACGAATGAACAGCCAAACACACACCTACTACAAACCAAGGGTGGACAGTTCATGTGTCTAAAGAGTCTGAATTGGATGTTAGTCCCTATTCGGGAAAAATGCACCTTTTTGGACCTAGATTAAAGCAGCCCTATTAAGCTTTTGGGGGTTTTCCCTTTCCAGTAGTGTGTTTTTTTGTGAATGTAATGGTTGACAAAGGCTAAAATCCCAAAGTTCCCTCCAGAGACCTCCTTTGCTTACTTCCTGAACGTAGTGACATCACCACGTAGCACTGACACTTCTATTGGCTAGCACTCCAACACATTGTACGTGATATCGTACGGGACATCTCTAAGCAGTTGACTAATCACAACAGAGCCGCCCAGCTAACCAATCAGAGCAGACTGGGCTCTGGTTTCAGACAGAGGGTGAAAAGAGGTGCTGCAGCACAGGCAGTATGAGAAAAATAAAGAGCTTTTTGAACATCAAAGCATGGAGAGTGGAGACATGTCACAGTATAGACACACAATACAAATATGAACCTGAAAATGAGCAGAATAGGGCCCCTTTAAGACTTGGGCCGAGAAGTCTTGGACTTCCAATCCGACTTCTGTAAATGTGGATGTCACCTCAATGACCTTCTGACCTTTCCCCTCACAGCAGGTCCAGTAAAGACCTGGTGCCGCCGCAGATCAGATTCACATTCCTGCTAGATCTTCAAGCCCTGGTTCAGAGGCTCATAAATAAAATGTTATAAGATGAAGGCAAAACCTATACCCCCCGCTTTACAGGACTCTAAGTACGCTGCATTATTGGTACAAAGGAAACACTTATTCTCAGAGGCCAAAGAGTATGAATGGAACATATTCAAAAGCTCTTGATGCTTTGGCAGGTCAAGGGGATTCTTTTATCTGCATGCTTATTATGTGATATGCTGTGTCAAGTGATTTTAACCTCCTCACGCATTGTTGACCCCCGCACTGTCATGCTGGATTCAATACTCTAAGGCACATTATTCAGTCAAACATCTCTTGCATCCATATGTATTCTAGTGAAATCCTTGAGCTTTCCAAGCATACCAAACAAGTAAGGTTAGGAATGGTACAGCCCTAAAATAATTATGAATATATGAATGTGCCAGCCAAGGATGCAGGAGGCTTCATTAAAAGGTTAGTGCATTACATTAAAGTTCATTTTGCACATCCTCGATAAAGTTTTGCTGGTACTGAACTGTCATCATTTTGTACATCTTTTCATTGTATCTTTTGCCTATTTAATGTGATGTATTATTGTATTTTTTCCATGTTAATATGTTTATTGTTGGCACCAAAACAACAAGGCAAACTTCCGGTAGGTGAAAAACTGCTTGGCAATAAAACTTATTCTGATAACTTGGATTTGTATAGTATTTTTCAAACCTGTGATTAATTTAACATAACATAACAAAGACATTTGCAAGTAGGCAGGATGCACACTTAGGTTGGAGTGTAATGCTCTCACTTTGAACGTACTTTGATCCTTTTAATTTGAATCTTTGGAGTGCCTGTATTGTGGAAAAATTACTACACATTAGTACAAATAAAACTCCCTAAAAAACGCTATTCAAATAGAATGAAGCTGCATGTACATGATTCATTTGCAACCCATTTTTAAGTAAGAAAATAATGTAGAAAACTAAGTTAACTAAGTAGCAAAAAAAATGGCAAAAATGATTGGTATGTGATTTAAATAAAAGTTGAAGGAATCGTCGAAATGAGGCTACTTGATTAATGTAAAAGCAGCCTAATGTTGTTGATGATTTTTTCCTAGGCTATATTTTAAAAATATATTTTCCAATGTTGTGGTTCTGAACAAAGTCACCACTTTCCGATGCATTGTGTGTTCCTTTTACATACACACATGCATGTTCTAAGAAGTAACAACAACTTCTAAAAGCTGGAAATAATTGATGTTACAACTGTTAAAATAGTAATAATAAGTACCGTGATTCGTGCGCAGATCTGGTTCGATGCTTCATCCTTCTCTGCTGAATGACTTGCAAAAAAAAAGGCCTGCAAAAGGCATCTGTGTGATATTGCATAAGTAAATCTCTGCCTCCCTGGCCGGTAGGGGTCTCCGGATAGGCTGCAGGACAGGGTGAAGGTTGGGTCCGGGCTCCACTCCTCCACATGGGGTGTCACCATGTCACTGTTGCCTCACAAGGGGCAGTGTTTGGAAAAGTGAAAAGTCAGCTGTGAGAGAAGACTCTGTGAATCACATTTACTTTCTTCTTCCTGCGGGTGGACTTGCTTCAGTCTCACATCAGAAGAAGCGTCAGTGTTTGATTCGGGGTTT